GCGGGGCGCTGAGCTTGGTGTTGGGCGCGCTGCTGGGCAAAGGTAAGGCGGGCCGGGCGGCTGTCGGCCGGCGCTCGGGAAGTTCCCCCCGGTGCCGAGGAGCCCGGGCGGGGGAGCCGAAAGGTGGGGGTGTCGTGGGGACCTTGGTGAGGGCGCTGGTCCGGCCAGGAGCGCCTCTACCCGGCGCGGAGGGGCGGACCCAGCTGGGCGCCGCGTACGAGGATGGGGGCAAATTCAGCTGGTCCAGTATCTCCGGACTGGGGATGCTTCCCGGGGTGAGGAGGGGGCGTGGCTGAGGGACAAGATGTGTTGTTCCCCACCCCTGAGTTCCATGAGGACTTAACCCCAGCACCGTCACACTGTGGAGCTGAGGGTCCGGCTTCTGTGCCCCCCCTTCCTCCCAGCTTTGCGCCCCCTCCCCAGCTCAGTCAGACTGGGACTGGAGATCCGAGAGGGCAGGCCGGGTCCTTTGCGCCCCCTTCCCCCAAGCATGGGGTCCTGAGAACCGACCTTGGCCCACGGAGAACGCGCGCTCATCGCGCAGCTGCCCGGTATCTCAGCTTGGCAGAAACCCGGGACCCCCACCCCAGGCGCCCGGGATTGGGTCCGGTGTGGTTTGGGAGCCTGGGAGGGTGGCCGGCGCGGGTGGGGGAGGTGGGTGCGCGCCTGGGAATCTGTCCTGGGCGGCCTCTTGCCTCAGTCTCCGCGTCTCTGCAATGGGCGTGATGACCCGGCCTTAGGATTTTGAGAATTCTGAGGGAACGCGTGGCGCCCAAAGAGCCCACCGAAAGTAGCTGTTATTATTATGACGGTTATTGTTATACGCGTGTCGGGCCAGGGTGGTCCCAGGGCCAGCGGTGGGAGCAGCGGGGAGAGGGGTCTCCAAGCCCGGAGCAGCCGGCGCCGCGCGCCCTTCCCCGCCGGGCACAGGCACCGGGGCCCGCGGGCAGGCGGGGAGGAGGCCCAGCTCCGCCGGGGACGGCGGCTGCGCGCACAGCAGCCGTGCGGAGCCCCGGGCGCGGGTCAGGGCGGAGGAGGAGAGCGTCGTTTTCCCGCTGCCCGCGCCCGGGCGAGGGTCTCGGGTCCGTTGGGTTAAGCGCGATGTGCACGAGTGTTTCCTGCGCCTTCGCGCTGCGCGGCGGGCTGGGCCCAGCCTCAGGCACTGAGCAGACGAACCAAGTCCACCCTGATGAGAATCACGGCCTCTCTCCCTCCTGAAGCTCCGCAGGCTGGGCTGGAAACGCATCGGGAGAGACAAGTTGCCAATTGATGTTAAAAAGTAGCGTTTGCTTTTCACAAGTCATTGCGCACCTTCTGAAATTCCAGAGAAATCTACTTTCCTGAGGCTGCAGGTTCTCAGACAGCAACTGGACAAAATTGCAGTTTTAAATAAAGTGTCCCTTTCTCCCAAGAGCTCCAGGTCAACAGGAGTGTGAATGTGTGTGTGAGCGCGCGTGTGCGCGCGTGTGAAGGGATGGGGGCACGTTTCTTTTTTTCCGAAAGGGCAAACATATACAGAATCTGGTGCCTTAATTCTGCTGTTAGCTCTGGGTTCTATTATTTCTAGGACTCAGTTTCCTCAAATGTAAAGTGGCCATTCAAAAAGATCCCTTCCCAAAATAGTTAACAGCGGTCTTGGGGTGATAAAATGGCTTAATGGATAGAAAGCACTTTGTAGAGGAAGGTGGGGTCATTTTTAATTGAGCAGGGGTGAGAGCCCCTGATCAGGTTTTCTCCCCTCCTCCATGAGAGGATTTAATCAGGTGAGAACTCAGTGCTGAATGTGCTTTTTAAAGTAAGTTGTGGACTTTTCTTAATTAGAGCTCACATTTATTATTATTTTTTTCTATTTTACTTTTGATTTAGAATAGTGTCTGTTACAAATGTCCTTGGAGAAAGGGCTAGGGGCAGCAGTTTGGTTCAAAAGTGAAGGTGGGGGTTTTGTTTTGAAGATGCTATTTACACAGCAAGGATTGGGGGAGAGGGAGATTGTGGGAAGAGCATACCCCAGTCCTACCCCAAAGAGCCCCCCACCCGCCACTGGCTTAGTGCAGCCTCCTGTGGTGAGATTTTCTCCTTGCTTTTGCTTAACGGTCTTCACCACGTGGTTTGGGAGCATGTGGGTCTGTCTGCAACTATCCTCTGCAAAATATTTCTCATTTTGCTTCTTATGACCAAAAGCAGCAGTTTATTCCTCCCTCTGATTCCTCCACAAAGAAAATGTTTAATCCGTTAGATTTGTTATAGAAAGGAAAGTTTCCTGACCCTTGTTGAAATTTGTGCTGTCTTTAACAGAAAAAAAAAAAATCTCTGACTCTTCCTGCCCACGGATTTAAGTGCTGATTTCTGGAATCCTCAAAACCGCTGATCAATTTTTAACACCAATTCTATGTTTATTTTTGACCATGGATTTAAAGGCTCTGCAGTTCATCAGGGTTTGGAATAGAGTCCTTGTTCTTGGGGTTCCATAAATAGGCCAGGGCGTCGCAAGAACAGAGTCTTCCTAAGATTTAAGACCGGCTGAGGTCGGTGAGGTGAAGTGTCCTTGAGTTAGAGGTTAAGAAATTGGCCCCATAGAAAGCGAGTGGAAGGGCGGTGGTGGGCAGAGATGGTCTCAGAGGTGGAGGGATGGTTGTTAGTCACATATGGGACCCCTGGGAAGGTCAGAAAGGACTATAATCTCTTTTCTGAAATCTGCGGGGCCAGATGTGTTTCAAGATTTAGAATTATTGAGATCTTTGGATGACAATATAGGTAGGTAGGTAGATAGATGGATAGATAGATAGATAGGTAGATAGATAGGTGGATAGATAGATGGATAGATAGACAGACAGATAGATAGGTAGAAGCATAGGGTCATATACATATATTGAATAACACGCCCATGCCTGGTCTGGAGTTGTACCCTGTAATCGCACACATCGGTAATTTTGTATGAAACGTATGAGTATTTACATAAAGGAGGATAAAGACCCAAAATAGCCTCACTTCACTTTAGATAAGTGTGGCCGCCCAGTGAATTAAAAACAACCTTTTGGGGATTTGGAATTTCTGATAAGGGGTTTGGGGGCTGCGGTAGGTTTCATGAGTAGCAGGAGGTCATTAGGGTGGAAGGTCCTTCTCGGCTCCCCGTGTGTGTGCTGCCACCTGGGAATGATGATGGTGCCTTGTTCTGCCTACACTCACAGCACACACCACTCAGCACACTCAGCCCACGAGTACCTGTTCTTCCCATCCATCCCTTCCTATCCCTCAAGTTGAAGCTCCCTGCTGTGTAGAAGCTTCTTAGAAGTGATTCCAGCTTCTTGGAAGTTGTTCTGTTAAACCACCAGACCCTGGGCTTTGTCCTGGTTCTCTCCTTTAAACCCACTGCTTTTGACTAGTGCTTGCTGACTTCATGACCTGCAGACATGTTCTGTTTTGTCCACACGGTGTTAAAAAAAAAAAAAAAAGAATGGGCTCCCCAAAACTGGGAGAATTCACATATAAAAATCAGGATTTCCAACTTCTCTCAAGAGCGTGGGTGGTTTGCCAACCTCCGGTGCACATTCCCATATGGCTCCATGGTGCCGCGCTGTGCGTGGTGTCCCCCCCCCCACCCCGAGGGGGTGTTTATCCCTCTCTTATCTACCTGCCCTTCCTTCCCTCGGCCATGTGAGTCTCCAGCTCTTCTTCCTTCGTCTCACTGTTCACTGCTAACTTAATCACAGCTGTGACTAGAGTCAGGCAGAGAAGAACTCAGAACTCTCAATTATATTAGCAGTTAGCACCTCCATGAGCGGAGGTTAAAACAAAGCCTTCTGATGTATTAGATATTTCATACATCCATAGTCATGAGAAGTGAGGTTAATAAACATGTCTTTGGTATAATAATTGGAGTGAAAGGAAGTATCACTGAATTAATGGAATAAATGGAAAGTCTCCTTGACAGAATATCTTTACAGCAATTTACTTTGTTTAAAAGTCAGGTTCATTAAGGTAGAAATTCCATACAGTAAAATTGACCCTTCTGTGTATAGAGTTACAAGTTTTGACAAATGCATATAGTCATGTAAAGACCACCACAATTAAGGTGTAGAACATTTCCATCACCCCACAAAGTTCCTGTGTGCCCCTTTGTAGCCTTCTCCTTCCCCTCCCCCCAGGCCTTGGCAACCACTGGTTTGTTCTCTCTCCTTATAGTTTTGCCTTTTTCATGATTCCGTAAAACTGGGGTCATGCAGTATGCAGCTTTTGAGTCTGCTGTCTTTCACTTAGCATGATGCATTTGATATTCACCTATATATCAGTAGTCTGTTCCTTTTCAGTGCTGCATAATATTCGATTGAATGCATGAGCCAGCGTTGGTTTATTCATTTCCTAGCTGAGGGACATTTGGATTACTTCCAGTTTTTGGTGATTATGAAAACAGTCTCTATCAATGTTCACGAACAGGTTTTCATGTGAATGTGTTTTCATTTCTCTTGGATAAATACTAGGACTGGTATTTCTGGGTGGTATAGTCACTAGATGTATAACTTCATCAGAAACTGCAAGCTCTTTTCAAACATGGTAACATTTAGCATTCCCACCAGCAGGTATGAGAGTTCCAGTTATTTTGTATTTTCAGAACCACTTAATATTATCCATTTTGTTTTGTTTGATTTTGTTTAGCAGTTTCAATAGGTGTGTAGTGGTATTTCTTTGAGGTTTTAATTTTTACCATCGTGGCTAATGATGCTGAGCATTATTTCTTATGCTTACCTTTATCTTCTTTGGTGAAATGTCTTTTTCAAATCTTTTGCTCATTTTTTATTGGTTGTTATTTTCCTATTATTGATCTTTGAGGGTATTTTTTATATTATGGATGCAAGACATTTATCAGATATGTGTTTACAGATATTTTCTCCCAGTATGTATCTTTGGAAGAGCAAAGGTTTTTAATTTTAATTAAGTTTATTATTTTTTCTTCTTCATAATTATGCTTTGGTGTCACATCTAAGAAATCTTTGCCTAACCTAAGGTCACAAGTATTCTCCATACATCTATAGTGTTGTTCAGTT